TGAATGGGCAAGAGCATTATGGTAGCTTCAGAGCTGCAGTAAACCTTAGCTCAAGAAATGGCACAGTCTGATTCAGTTTCTCAGTTTCTAGAAAGAAATAGGAGAGACTGAGCTGGGTGTATGTCAAAGTTGTTACTCATTCTGACAAAGACACAAGAATCGATGTGACATTGAGTCAGGTTCTGGCTGAATAGAGTTTAAGTAGAACGTGGTTTTGTTTGGGAAAAAAAAACCCAAGAAAATATAAATGGCAGGATAAAAACAACTCAGTAGGTCTGAAAAGGTCATATGTTTTGGCCTTTAAAAAAAGAAGGGCAGAACAGTATAATAATAGAATACAGTGCTTTTTCAGAGTCAACATCCCACTTCTAGATTATGGGTGGTTTACAACTCTGTATGATAGACTTATAGCTTCTACACCTACAAGTTTCATTTGCAGCCATAAGAGCTATAGACTGAAATTTTATAGGAAAGCTTGTTGGATCCTCAAGTACAGAATGGCATCCTTTAGGGGAAAGCAAAATACAACCCAACAGCTAAAACCAAGCTTTCCATTTATAATCAGTCCAAAGACCAAGGAAATACATGACCATTATTCAGCTTTGTAAGGCTATTCTTTGGAAAGCTCTGGCTACATTATTGGAAGTAGTGTGCACAGGTTTCTGTAAACAAATCTCTTGCATCACATTTGCCCATTTAGGGAACTTTTTGCTATGCAAGAAAATTACATTTAAAAACTTCACATTATTCTGAACATGTGTTGGGGGTTTTTTTAGTAAATGAAAGCTTATTTCCAGTCAGTAACAGCTTTATCACAGGACAAACTCGTTTTAACTGTCCAGAATTTAAAAAAAAAAAATTAATTGTAAGATTTCTTCTGTCGATACTAAAGTTGGGGCATTTAAGCGGTTATATTTGACTGGAAAGCTAAAGGTTGTCTGCCGTGCCAACTATCAGAAGCCCAATTGCTTGTGTACGTTCCCCTCTGGTGGTGACTAGTAAGTATTACAGAAAACAACAAACGCTGCCAAAGGGGCGAGGATTAAATGGAAATAGAAAGTACTTCACCGAAAAAGATCTTTATTTTTAATTGTAAGGCTTGAAATGTTTTTGAAACAATGAGCTCGTTTAAACATTCTTCAGCGGTAGTTAACAACTTCTCTGCTTAACATTACCTTTCTGCTATTTATTTTTTATATTACACCAACTCTCTTGCCAGGATCAAGGTCCTTTTCCCCTGGCAACACATACTTCAGTAATATTTCTGGCTTGCTTCTTCACACACATAACTGGTATTAAATTACAGCACTTAAAACTACCCAGCAGGGATTTTAAAAAAATAAAACATAAGCCAGGGTAAAGTAGCTGGATGCAAAGCTGCTAAAAAGGGAAATGAAAATTTGTGTTATTTACTGCATATTTAGAAAAAGGCCAATGACATTTTTAGTGGGAAAATCAGAAGTTTGCCTTGACAAATTCTGAAGGTTTGTCAAAGCAATTGATGGAGGAACAGAGGATGTGCAACTGCAGGCAGACATCAGAAACAGATGGTCTTTCTTTCGGCCAAGGTTCTAGAGGCAAAGTGAAAAACATTAATTAAAAACTACATGGCTGTGCAATATATCATCAATTATTCAATGTTCTTTTTCAGAGAATGCCAAATGACTAGTCTCTAAAGGGGAAAAATCTTAGGATTTGCAGGCCAGCGGGGATATCTCTCAGAAAAAGAGAGAAGGTCTGCATATTTAAGGATAGGAGAATAGAAAATCTATTAACACCAAACATCCAGCTTTTCCAGAGTATTCCTTATATTCTTACAAATTACATCAAGAAGGACACTCTTTAAGGATTTGTTCAATAATGAAGAGTCAGGAAAAAACATGAAGCTAAGGAGTAGTCTCTCCAAAAAAATCTTGTGCGTCTCACAAAAGTAAGCAATGGTCACCAGCACGTTACTTTGAGGATTATTTGAATAAGCAAACTGAAAACACTTGTGTGATATATGGTTAGGTACATCTAGAGGCTTGAGAGAGACTCAAACTTCCCTCTACACTCAGGCATTTAAACATAGTAGAATCCTCTTGGAACAGCATGTTGTAACCTGAAATATAGAAAAGAGATCTTCAGC